TTTTATTTTATTTTATTTTATTTTATTTTATTTTATTTTATTTTATTTTATTATTTTATTTTATTTGAGTAAGAACTCTATACCCAGGGTGCCTGGGTGGCTCAGTCAGTAAAGAATCAGACTCTTTGGCTGAGGTCATGATCTTGCAGTTTGTGAGTTTGAGCCCCGCCCTGAACTCTGTGCTGACAGTGGGTAGCCTGCTTGGGATTCTCTCTCTCTCCATTCCTCCCCTGCTTGTGCTCGCATGCTCTCTCTCTCTCTCTCTCTCTCAAAACAAATAAACATTAAAAAAAAAAATCTCTGTACCCAACATGGGGCTCACACTTATGACCCTGAGATCTAGAGTTACATGCTGTACTGAGGCAGTCAGGTGCCCCATGCATTTTGTTTTTAAAAGACCACATGAAAATGCTGAGTGCCTTCAAAGAGGTATAGTAATTTATGCCCTCCTGTTTGGCATAAAGTGGGTGAAACATTTTTAATGTCATAGAACAAAGAAAAAAAAGTAAATTATACATTTACTTTTTAAATGATTATGAAATCTAAAGATTTGCCAGGGAAGATTTAATATTCATTTCAACTGAAGAACTGAAGTATCTTTTTCAAAGCCTTTAGAAAGAAGTGGATTGGATTTCTTACCTGTGGCTTAAGTTAACAGTGTTCAGGGGAAAAGAAGAACCAAAGAAAAATTAACCAAATGACCAAACAAACAAGCCCAAATTCACAAAAATAAAGACATTCTATATACCAGATAACAACATTCATTGCTGACCGGTTTGTTAGATGTCAGACAGATCTCTGTTCTGGCTGTTGAGCTGTGTGACCTTGGACAGATTGCCAGTCTCTCTGAGCTTCTGCTCTTCCTTAAAAGGGGCCATAATACCTACCTCAACAACAGAGATGTGGTGGGGTGTGAGACAGGGGATTTATGAGAGAGTGCCTGGCCCAGACTGTCTTAAAATGATCATTTAGTTCCTTCCCCTTTTTCTCAGGGATTAACTGAAGCTGACAGTTTGGGGTGCAGGCAGATAGTTTGCTGCAGTGTGTAAACCAATTCCAGTCTCCCCTTCTTTGGTGTTTCTGTACCTTCTTGGAGTGCGAATGAGGAGGGTCCTCTTCTTTTGATGTACAGGCTTGGGTTAGGTTAGCTAGGAAAGCTACACATCTGGCTTTTTTCCTGCCGGCTTATATCTTTGGCCATGTTTCCACCAGGCTGTGGCCTCAGTGCTCTGGTCAGTCCAGAGTCATCAAAGCTGAGAGAAAAGGAGGTGAGGTGGCAAACTGTGTGGGGAGCTCAGAGCTGGTATTCCCAAATTCTTCTGATCTGCCCCACAGAGAGCACAGCCTTGGTTCAGGCAGGCTTCCTCTCCACAACAGCCAGGTTTCTTCTTTACCCTTCCAGAGTCCTACACTCTCTCAGGGGGAGGGGTGATGAATGTTTTTGGCACGAAGGAAAGAAATCCTATTCCAAAGAGGAATACTTCTGTTCTACTCCCCAGTTTTATTTTGTCTTTAAACTTCAGGTTCTCTTTTCCAGGAGAGATTTAAATTGGATTACAGTAGTAATTCCTATTTGTTACATGCCACATGCTTTATATCCATTAACTCACTTAATTCTTACAACAATCCTGCAAGATACATGTGGTTGGTTCCATTTTATGGATGAGAATATTGAGGCTCAAACAGATATGAGGACTTGTGCAAAGCAACATAGCTGGTGACCGTAATATTAATCCCCGGACATGTTTTATTTTGGAGCTGTGAAGCAGTTTGTCTCTCAGTCCTATTTACCTGTGTTTTCACCCCACTCACCGTACCACCACCCTGGCCTGGGGCAAGTTACTAGCTTAAAGGATTTATTTGCCATGTAAATCCTGAGATGTGATCTCTTTCTCTGTCTCATCCCTAGGATATCATTAGAGAGAGTTTGCCAGCTGGGAAAAGATACGAACGACCCCACAGCATCAGTGACTACAGTGTGTTCTCATAAAACTGGTGCTCTAAAAACAGCTACATTTTACTGAGAGAATTAACCACAAATTGAGGCTAGTTTTTACAACGCCACAAGTGGGGCTGTATTAATTATCTATAAAGATGATTCTGAAGTGGTTCTCTGCTCTCAAATTCCAAAGGAAGCAAGTAAGGTACAGTATGCAATGTTCTCTGAGGCGGATGATCCAGTCTTCTCAAGTTTTAGAAGGTCTCACTGGGGACAGTCAGGATCCTGAACTGTATTATGATTTTACTCTTTAAAAGGCTCTGTGAAGCCCTCAGAGCAGAACAAGCTGGCGTATCTCAGAGCACCAGAGCTAGATCCAAAGTGCATCGGCATTTTTTTCCTAGCAAAACAAAACCAAACATGAACAGTATTTCCTCTAAAACTGAAAAACAAAGTCAACAAGGAGAAACAGGATAAAAAGAAGGACAGTTTTGGATTTTTGAAAGAATTTGATTCAGTACCTGGTGTGAATTGAATTTATTTAACTGTCATTCACATTTAAAGGCCTAGGCCCAGGTCTAGAAGAGTTATTGTAGCATTCCATGAAAAACTTTCCTTTGTTACCCACATTTAGTTTATGTGATTGGTGCACTAGGATTATTTTTCCAGTCTGAATGGATATAGAAGATGTATGGACCTGCAGTGTGTACAGAGCTGTTAGCATCGCTCAGAAATAAGCTCCAGTCCCATTGCAACCCATATACATCTTGCATAACAAAGGATTTGGGGCTTAAGGTGGCATTTCAACCTCAAACAGTGTTCAATATGACAAACTTTTATTGCAGTTGAATTTATTTGTTGTTCTAGGTGTTCAAAGCATCTTATTTATTCTGAGGTACAGAATCAGTTTTTAGGGTGGTAATTAACTCTTTAATAGATGACAAAATTGATGTCTGATATTACAACATGAACCCCTACATCCAGCTATAGCTGACTTGACTCTATTGCAAGGAGCTCAGGCTTTGGAGTAGGTTCTGCTATTTATACACTTTGGCTTTGGGAGAATCACTAGTGAGTCTTAAAATTGAATGTGCCTATAAATCACCTGAGGTTTCTGTTCAAAGGCAGATTCTGCTTCTGTAGGTCTAGTGTGAAGCCTGAAGTTCTGCATTTCTAACGAGCTCCCAGATGGTGAAGATGTTGACAGTCACACTTTGAGTGTCGAAAACTATTTGAACCTTAGTTTTCTCACCTGGAAAAAAAGGGGGGGGGGATGAAAATAACTACTTGAGAAAATTGTTAGGAACACTAAATGAGTCAGTGAGGTGAAGCATCTGACACGCAGGAAGATTACCACAAATATAAATGTCCCACTCCTACTTTTCCCGTTTGTTCCTACCTAGCTCAGCAGGCAGGAACTCTGTTCAACCCTGTTTCCTCAGCTGCAGTTTTTAGTGGGTTTACTTTCATATTTATGTCATAGAATTAAGTTCATCGCAGAAAGACATGTGCAAATAATTAAGAACCCACCCTGTCCTCTTTCCCCAAATTATGTGCCATTCAACATTACATGGAAAATCTTATGCCCAATGCGAATGCTCAAAATTGAATTGCAAAGCAACTTGTTCAAAATAGCTGTAAAACTTTGCTTAACCATTAGCAAAACATGATTATTTGGGATCACAAAACAATACTCAATTATATTTTTGGAAGACACACTTCTAAAACAATGTTTTAAAATGGTTGGAAATGAAAGAATGGGCAAAAATATACCAGGAAACTCAAATATAAGCAAAGAGGGTTCTAATCTTAATATCGAGTGAGCTAGAATTCAACTCATACAGTTCCATAAAGTACAAGAGGAGGGAATACTTCTCAACTCATCATCTGAGGCCAGTTTTACCCTGATACCAAAACCAAACACATCAGGAGAATAAAAACTGTAGGCCGATCCATTACGAATGTAGCTGCAAAAATCATTTTCAACAAAATACTAGCAAATTTAATCAACCTATCAAAGAGTTTTACATACCAGATATCATTATCCCATGAACGCAAGGGTGGTTTAACATTTCAAATTAATTTGTGTGATATGCCGTATTTTAAAATTACATGATCGTTTCAATAGGTGGAGAAAAGCATTTGATCAAGTCAGGTTCTGCTCAGGATAAAAATACTTAAACTATAAATACGAGGGTAGTCTCTCAAGCTGATAAAGAGCATCTATGGGAACTTACAACTAATATACTTAATGGTGAAGGTTGAGTGTTTTCCCTCGTAAGATAAGGGACAAGACAAAGATGTCATTCTCACCACCTCAGTTCAGTAGTCTACTTGAGATTCTTTCTAGGGGCAATGTCTTCGTCCATTCAGGCTACAATTACAGAATACCATAGACGGGTGGCTTGTAAACAACAAATTTATTTCCTGCTGGTAAGGAGGCTAAATGCAAGATCAAGGTGCCAGCAGTCTGGTGTCTGGTAAGGGGTTGCTTCCTGGTTGTTTTCCCTGTGTTCTCACATGGCAGAAGGGTCAAGGACCTATCCTAGGCCTCTTTTATAGAGGCACTAATCTAACTCCTCCATCCTCATGACCTATTTACCTCCCAAAGTTTCCACCTACTACCATGACCTTGGATGTTAGGACTTCAACATATGAATTTTTGAGTGACACAAATATTCACCCTATAGCAAGCAATTAGACAAGAAAAAGAAATAAAAGACATCCAGACTAGAAAGGAAGAAGTAAAACTATATTTGCAAATGTCATGATCTTGTGTATAGAAAAACTGAAAGAACCCACTGAAGACCTATTAGAGATAATAAACAACTTCAGCAAGGTTGTAGGATATAAGAGCAATATTAAAAAATCAGTTGCATTTCAATACATTAGCAAAAGACAATCTGAAAATGAAATTCAAAAATAATTTCTTTTATAATAGCATGAAAAAGAATAAAATAAGAATAATTTAAATAGAAGTGGGTAAGACTTGTATACTGAAAACCACAAAACGTTGAAAGAAATGAAAGATCTAAATAAGCAGAGAGACATCCTATGTTAATAGACTGGAAGACAATACAGCAAGTTAAGATGGCGGTACTCCCTAACTTTGATCTGCCAATTCAATGCAGTCTCTGGCAAAATCCCAGAAATTGGCAAGCTGATCCTAAAATTCATGTGGAAATGCAAAGGATCTAGAACAGCCAAAACATTCTTGAGAAGAACAACACAATTATAGGACTCACTTGCAGTTTCAAAGCTATGTACTTTGCAGTTTGTACTGTGAGGTTACAAAGTGATGACAGTATGGTACTGCCATAAAGATCAATGGAATGAAATTTAGAGTCCAGAAGTAAACCCTAACTTTTATAGTCCGTTGGCTTTTGAATAAAGGGCCAAGATGATTTGATGGAGAGAAATAATAGTCTTTCAACAAATGGTATTGCATACATTAGATATCCACATGCAAAAGTATGATTTTGGAATATTATTGGAATAGTGGAAATTTTATTGCTATAATAAACTAATCTCAGCTCAAATATCAGCATCATGCATTTTAGTCTTTCTGCAAAGGAGATAAAACTATCATATATAGGGATGATAGTGATGTTATACTTTCAAATTGTGAGAGAATCAATTGAAAAGCTTTGTCAAGCAATAAGGGAATTCAAAGATAGTTACATACAAAATCACTCTAGGGAAATCAGTGGCAATCTCTCTATCTGTACCATTATCTGTATATATCAACCAGTTAGAAGATAAGATCTCACTTGGAATAGCAGTCAAAAAGATGAAATACCTATGGATTCAGCAAGACACAGATGAAGAAAACTTTAGAAGTCAATGAAAAATACGAAAGAAGATTTGAACAAATGCAAACCTTTTGCATGGTCTTAGAAAAACACTTCCATAAAGTTGACAGTTTTCCCCAGGGTAAATTGTACATTTAACATGATCCCAATAAAAATGCCTGTACTTTCCTCCCTGAAGTGGTGAAGTGTATTCAAAAGTTCATATGACAAATGAGACAAATGAGAACAGCCAGGAAATTCTGACAGAGAAGAGAAATGAGGAAGGGTTATGTCTATCAGATATTAAAGCATAAAGCAACAACAATTTTAAAGGTATGATAATGGTGTTTGAAATAAGCAGATGGACCAATAGAACAAAAAAGCATAAATAAACCCATAAACATACAGGAATTTAGTAGATGATAAGATGATATCAATGGGGTGGGGGAAGATACTATTCAGATAGTGTTGGGACAACTAAAACCATCTAGAAGAATGCAAAGTTGGATTAATATTATTATACTTAATAGTATAGGAGGGTAAGTTCCAAGTGAATCAAAGATTTAGATGTTAAAAATAAGGCCAAATAAACACAAATAAAACATGAGGAAATTACAACTTTGGAGTGGAGAATGCCTTTTTGATTATGACTAGAAACCTAGTGCATGGTTCCCTCAGGGTGCTTGGCAGGCTCCTGGCATGTCACTGGGCATGTCCCTGGGTAGGGAGTAGGTCTGGTCTGAACTGCAGCTGAGAGGCGCTCGGACTGAGTCACAGGGCTGCTTTGGGGGCCACAGCTGTGACTGAGGTCTACGGTCACAGATGGGCATACCTCCTGCTGGGTGCCTAGGCTGGCAGGACTGCTCCTGGATTGTAGCTGAGTAGGACAGGAATTCGATCATAGGGTTGCTTCAATATCTACAGACAGAGCCAAGGTTGGCAGACTGACTTCCTGGGGCACATGTCCTTACATGTAAATCTTTCTCAGAGTTTCTTTCATAGCCTAGTAGCTCTTTTCATTCTAAATGCTCTGTATGGGCAAAGCTACTGTGGCTGGAGCAGATTTATTGAAAGGGAGTGGAAGTAGATGAAGGTAAGGAGGTGAGAGAGGACCGATGACAAGAATAGTATGTCAGCAAATTCTGAAGTGCTGACCAAGATGGAAACATAGGAAGCCCCTGAGCTTTTTTCTTCCACACGCACACCAAATGTACAGATACAATTGCACGTGGTGCAATTCCCTGTGACAGAGATCTGGAAACTAGCTGAACAGCTCCTACACATCTAACAAACGAGAAAATACCCACATCTAAATGAATAGGAAAGGCCAAGACACTGTCTTGCTATAAGCCCCACCCCAACACAGTGCCACACAATTGGGATGGAAGCCCACATCTAGCATCCCAAC